TCCTGTGCCCCTTCCCTCCACGCCCTCCTTCCTCAGATTATGGCTGAACGGCGCAATGCCCGCTGCTTGGTCAACGGACTCTCCCTGGACCATTCTAAACTGGTGGATGTCCCTTTCCAAGGTCAGCGTGGCAGCCGCACCGGGTCCAGCGCAACCTGCCGGGGGTTGGCGAGGGGCAAGAGGTGGGGCCTAAGGTGCTGGACAGAGGCGCGAGGGAAAGAAGCACGGAGCGTGAATATTCTATCATCGAATAATTGAAGGGGCCTCAGTTCAAGGGAGGCAGGGCCCAGCTTGTGTCCTAGGGGTGGGGACTGGGAGCGAGCAAGTTCTACCCCCAGGATTGACTCCTTTCTTCTTTCTCACAGTGGAATTCCCAGCCCCCAAGAATGAGCTGGTACAAAAGTTCCAAGTCTACTACCTGGGGAACGTGCCTGTTGCTAAGCCTGTTGGTATGTGTGCCATCAGCCCGCTAGCTCCGCTCCTTCTCACCCTCGGTTCTCCAGGGCTGCTAGCAAGCCTTCGCCATGCTTGGGTCTCCCTGCCTTTCAGAGTACACCCTCCCCTCTGGACCTCTGCCCTGGGTGCACTCTTGTCCTGCCTGTAGCCCTGGGGCGGGGCTGTGGGAGGGGTCGAGCCTTCACCAAGTGCTCCCCTGTGGCTGGTGTTGAATTGGCAGGCTGAGACCTCACCCCTGCACCCAGCAAGAAAGGTTGGAAGGCAGATCTTGGCGGTCTGGCAGTTCCTAGAGTAGCTTGGAGCTGATTTCCGACTTACAGCACCAGCTGTGGGCTTTGGACATCGAGAGCACAGGTTCCCAAACTGAGTTGGCCTGCGGACCCCATTTTTGACTACAACAAAAACTATGACCCAGTGCCCCATAGCAATGAAAACCGTTGCTACTGTGGCCCTTACTCCAGGATAAAGCGTAGCGATCTGCTGTGCACCCCCCCCCCATCATTTCCAGGAGAAGGATGAGGCTTTCGACTCCTGTCAAGAGTTAGAGTTTCAGAAACCCACAGGGGCCGTTCTACCCTGTCCTGTGTTTAAAAGGTCGCTGTACATAAGCGTTGACTCCATAGCAAGGATTTTGGTTTTTGTTTGTAATCATTTCAGTGTCCTCCAGGGGGTGGTATTGCCCACGTTGGAAAACTGATCTGGAGAGCCAAGCAGTGAGGAGTGTGATCTTTGTGCGCTTTGTAAAGTACTGATTTACAAATCATTTAGTTTCTTGCTGATCCTCTGAGGTTGGGCTTATGATCACACCCATTTTATAGATAAGCAAAACAAAAGTAGGGACTGCCATGTTTACTTTCACGGTTCCGATGTCAATGCTGTCACAGTGCCTGCTGTTTCTTTGTTCATTAATAAATAAGGACCTTGGAAGCCACATTCGTGATTTAAGTCTTCATCCCAAGAGCAGCAAGGAGCTATCCAAGAGTTTAGAGCAGTGGGGTCGACATCAATCAGACCCCCTTGCCTTTTGTAAAGCTCATTTTGGCTGTCCTTTGGGGAGAGATGTTACGTGGACAAAGGTGGCGACGAGGGGCCCTATCAGGAGAATCTTGCTGTGGTTGTGGCCAGAGTATCTTGGGCTCCGTGGAACTAAAAAGGATTGTGAGGATTTAAGAGCCGTCTAGATGGTTGAATGAACAAGCCTCGGCGATTGCATGTGGGTTGTAGGTTAGAGGCATTCAGGATGACTTCCTGGTTCCTGGATTTTGTAGCTGACTGGTTATTGACAATCATTAGTGACTAGTAGTCGTTAGCCCTTTGTCACGGACTGTTAGCGTGACTGTTCTCTAAAACTGGAAAACACCGGGAGAAGCCAGTTTCACCGCCGATCTGAAACTCGGTTTCAGACAGGCCGAGTTTGAAGTGCCTTTGGGATTTCTGGAGGATAAAGTCAAAGCGGCAGCTGGATTCACAGGTCTGGAGCTGAGACGAGAGGTCTGAGCTGGAGATAAATATTTGGGCACCACTGAAATAATCAAAGCCTTGGGTGTGGAGTAGACTGACCTCGATAAATGTGCAGCCCAAAGTAAAAAAGGGAAATGAGATGAGGCCTACCCCGTGAGGTCCTCCAACCTTTAATGGATGGGTGGAAGAGGACCGGCCGCAAGGAATGGTGAGGACAACAGAGCGAGATTGTAGGAAGTGGTCGGGAAGCGTGCAAAAGGACATTCAGGAAGACCTCATGAAATGTTTGGTGACTGAACAAGCAAATGAATGCACAAGCGAATGAATGAATGGGACTTTCCTTAAATGACACACACTTACCTCAAACCAGGCTGTCTTCAATGACCTACACCCTCATTGAGAGAACTCTTATGAAAGGTAAGCATTGGACTGGGGTTCTGAAGGAAGGTTCAGATTTGCAAAAGGAGCCGATATTTTAGTTGGATTCCTTGACAGGGCTGCTGAGAATGGTGCTGCGGATGGCATGCTCAGGGGGTTAGCAGACCCTTCATCTTTGTTCCTAGTTCCTTTCCTCTCCTACCTGCAACTTCTAAAACCCCCAAATCAGGTCTTCACTCGGCTAACTCAGCCAGTTCACCTTTCATTGTCCCTACACTGCCTGGCAGCTCTCTAGATTTACTTTAATTGGCACATTTCAGACCAGTGGTCTCTAGTTGCTCTTCCAGATATATAT